CACGCGCCACCGTGCCCTGCTAATTTTTTGTATTTTTAGTAGAGAAGGGGTTTCACCATGTTGACCAGAATGGTCTCGATCTGTTGACCTCGTGATCCACCCACCTCGGCCTCCCAAAGTGCTGGGATTACAGGCTTGAGCCACCACGCCCGGCCCGACTTCTTTATATTTCTTAAATAATTGGAACCACTCTGAGATGTAAGAACTTGAACCAGAGTGATTTAGACAGCAAATTTGGACTTCCTAATCACCAGAGTTACATCTTCCATGGGGGCACATCCTTCCTGTCTGGCTACTGCTGCATAAATTCTTGCAAAATTAAAGGCAAAATGTTTTCATTTCCTAATGAGGTTCTGAAGGCTACTGTGGGTGATTTCCAGGACAAACAGGAAGAGAACAACTGTAATTCCTCAAGAGGCCCTTAACAGTCACTGAACCTTTTATTGGCCTTCTTGAATTTTTTGTGGTAGAGATGGTAGGGGAGAGCTCACTTGAAACATTCTTCAGTCAGGGCAGATTTTAGATATTCTGTGAGTCTCAGCAAGAATAACTGTTTAACATATTCTCCTTACCCTGGATTACTGTAATGCAGCTTTCATACTCTCATTGAAACTGCCTTTGCAAAGATTAAGACAAGGATAGACGTCTAACATGGCTGACTCCCATCTTGCTTCTAGCTTCACAGCCTGGCTGTTTTCATTCATTCCTAGGTGTAGGCCAGGCTAGTCATGAGAGTAATTTAGTTCACAGTTTAACTTTGAAACAAGGACAATTAATAGCCCCTCCCTAAAACTGCTTCCCTCCTTTTTCAGAGGTTGAAGCTGACTTTGTAAAACTAATAAAAGGCCACATGATTAGGATCATGGGAGGAGTCTGAAAATATAAGTGAAGATTCTATAATCCCTTACTGCTTAGAAATCATGTAGCCAGAGGTCACAAGATTTGTGACTTCCCCAATTGCTCCAATAGATAACCTCACTATTGTAGAACCTAAGATTAGTCTTTTGAGATGTTTTTCAGACTGACCCCACCTAGACTCATGACTCATGACTCAACCAGTCCTGTGGCCCCTCCCTGACCCAGATCCAAACTCAGTGCACAAGGACCATTTTCCACAGCCCTGCAATGGCATCCCCAACTGATCAGCAGCACTTATTCCCTATTCCCCTGCACACAAAAGTGTCCTTGAAAATCCAAACCTCCAGGCCTTTGGGAAGAATGATTTGAGTAATAACACTGACTACCACATGACTAGGCTAGTGTCAACTAAACTCTTTCTTTCCTGAAATACCACCGTCTATGAATTGGTTTTTGTCTGTGCAGTGGACAGGAGGAAACTGTCAGGTGATTACATCATTTTCTCAAGTTCTCACAGTCTATCAGAAGCTGAAATGCCACTTGAAGCGCACTCCATGCCACACTTCAGGAAAGGAGTAGGACTGGTAGTCAAAGCAACTGGAATTTAGATAGAAACAGCAGTCACCATTAATAAGGGTTGCCTCACTAGTGCCATCTCAATTGATCCTGTATAATTTTTCTGTCTACTTTATCAACAATTGAGGGATGGGTGTTAAAAGCCTCTAACTACAATTATGGATTTATCTGTTTCTTTCAGTTCTGTTTTTGCTTCATGTATTTAGGAGTTCTCTGCATTAATTTTGAACGAGCAAACCCTGCCATTTTCTTGAGGTTATATTATCAATGATATTATGAGGTATAAAAGGCAGAACAGGCCTGGTGCAGTGGCTCATGCCTGTAATCCCAGCACTTTACGAGGCCAAGGTGGGTGGATCACGAGGTCAAGAGATTGAGACTATCCTGGCCAATGTAGTGAAACCCGGCTCTACTAAAAATACAAAACAAAAAAACACACACAAAGAAGCATAAACTAGTCAGGCATGGTGGCACACACCTGTAGTCCCAGCTACTCAGGAGACTAAGGCAGGAGAATCACTTGAACCCAGGAGGCAGAGGCTGCAGTGAGCCAAGATTGCACCATTGCACTCCAGCCTGGTGACAGAGTGAGACTCCGTCTCAAAAAAGAGGCACAACAGGTGTAGAAACTTTAAAAAACAGACTAATATCAATTAGAAACTGATGATATTTATTATCAAAATCTAAAACCAAGTTTCTTCATCAGACCAAGAACTATAGTTTGTGCGTATGAGTGTGTGTGTGTGTGTGTGTGTGTGTGTGTGTGTCAGGGTGCACCAGGAGCAATTTTCACCATTTGTTTAATAATGTAAGTAACAGTCATAGGAGTTCTACTGCTGAAGGGTTGTGTAACTTCCACCATTTCCATCAATAAGAGGAAACAAAAAATTGTATAATATCTAAACAAAAAATTATATAAGAGCTAAACATATAAAGCTATGAATCCACTTACTTTATTGTAATCTTTCTGGGAAAAGACAAATTTGGATCTATACTTTTTAGTGTATATTATGTGTAAGAAAGGGATAAAAATGCATATATGTACTTGCTTAACTTGTAAAATGAAACTCCAGAAAGATGTCAGAAAATAATAAAAATAGTAACCTATGGAGGTTGAGGGGAAAGGGATGGAAGTGAGGTTTCTTTAAGTATATTGTTTTTGTTTTGTTTTGTTTTTTTGAGATGGAGTTTTGTTCTGTTGCCAAGACTGGAGTGCAGTGGCACAATCTTGGCTCACTTAAACCTCTGCCTCCCAGGTCCAAGCTACCTCAGCCTCCCAAGTAGCCGGGATTACAGGCACCTGCCACCACACCCTGCTGATTTTTGTGTTTTTAGTAGAGATGAGGTTTCACCACATTGGCCAGGCTAGTCTCCAACTCAGCCTCCCAAAGTCCTGGGATTACAGGTATGAGCCATACCTAGACTTACTTTTATTTTTAATTGTGATAAAATACACATAACATAAAACTTGCCATTGTAAACATTTTTAGGTGTACAGTACAGGAGTGTGAAGTACATTCACACTGTTGTGTATTCAATCTCTAAAACTCTTTGCATCTTGCCAAACAAAGCTTTTAAACAACTTCTCATTCTTCTCCCTACCCAGCCCCTGGCAACCACTGTTCTTCTTTCTTTCCCTATTAATTTTACTCCTTTAGGTAACTTATATAAGTGAAAGCATACAGTATTTATCTTTTTGTGTCTGGCTTTCTGGGTTATTTCACTCAGCATAATGTCCTCAAGTTCATCCATGCTGTAGCGTGTATCAGAATTTCCTTCCTTTGTGAAACTGAATAGAAATTTCATTGTATGTATATAACACATTTTGTTTCTCCCATTCATCCATCAAGAAATATCAATATACCTTTTGACTATTGTGAATAATGAAGCTAAAATATGAGTATAAAAATATCTATCTGTTCAAGTCTTTGCTTTCAATTTTTTCAGGTATATACTTTTTCACATACTTTTAACTCTGAACTTTCTGTGCGTTTTCTGCAAAAAATTAAGTTAATGAAAAAGAAAAAAGCAAACCTTACAATAAAAATCAAGCCCTCGAGGTGAAAAGATAGGAACCTACCAAACTGGTATAACCCCACGAGCCCTTTACAGAGGAACAAAAGGCAATCAATACAAGATAGAATGGTGAATGGAAGGATCATCAATGGAGTATAAAACCGTTAAGTGAAAAGATGTTGTGAAACAATATATATTAATGGTGCCAAATGATAACTCTGAAGATTTCTTTTTGTTTGTTTGTTTGTTTGAGAGAGAGAGAGTCTCATTCTGTCGCCCAGGCTGGAGTGCAATGGTGCGATCTCAGCTCACTATAACCTCTGCGTCCTGGGTTCAAGCAATTCTCCTGCCTCAGCCTCCTGCGAGCTGGGGTTACAGGCCCCCACCATCACGCCCAGCTAATTTTTTGTATTTTTACTAGAGATGGGTTTTCACCATGTTTGACAGGCTAGTCTTAAACTCCTGACTTCAAGTGATCCACCCACCTCAACCTCTCAAAGTGCTGGGATTACAGGCATGAGCCACCGCGTCCAGCCAAGATTTCTTGATAATTTCAAAGAAAAAGAAATATATTTAGAAGGGAGAGATCTCATTGTCCCATCACCATAAGCAATGCCCACACTCAGAGCAGAATGGCGTACCTGACATTGTGTCCTCCAAGCGTGATGTCATCACCTATCAAGTATTCTCGGCAAAAAATGTTAAAATATATCTAGGCCCTTAAACTTCTAGTTCACAGGAAATATAAGAGCTGAAGAAAGAAGTCAAATGATGCCAAGAGTAAACAACCTAAAACATACAGAATATGGAACATTCTATATAGAAGAACTTCTTGATGCTTTAAAAATGTCAATGTTATTTTTAGAAAAAAGAGATAGAGGGGTGAGGTGGGGTCAGGTGCAGTGACTGATGCCTGTAATCCCAGCACTTTGGGAAACCAAGGTGGGCAGCTCACCTGAGGTCAGAAGTTTGAGACCAGCCTGACCAACATGGTGAAACCCCATATCTACAAAAAATACAAAAATTAGCTGGGCATGGTGGCACACTCCTGTAATCACAGCTACTTGGCAGGCTGAGGCTGGAGAATCTCTTGAACCTGGGAGGCAGAGGTTGCAGTAAGTGGAGATTGCACCACTGCCCTCCACCCTGGGTGACAAAGAGAGACTCCATCTTAAAAATTTTTTTTTTTTTTAATTTTAAGTTTCTTTAAAAAAGGGAGAGACGGGGGAACTCATCATGACTCATGTCTATAATCCCAGCACTTTGGGAGGCCGAGGTGGACAAATCATGAGGTCAAGAGATTGAGACCATCCTAGCCAACATGGTGAAACCCTGTCTCTACTAAAAACACAAAAATTAGCCAGGCTTGGTGGTGGGTGCCTGCAGTCCCAGCTACTCAGGAGGATGAGGCAGGAGATTTGCTTGAACACAGGAGGTGGAGGTTTCAGTGAGCCGAGATTGTGGCACTGCATTCCAGCCTGGCGATAGAGCAAGACTTCTTCTCAAAAAAAAAAAAAAAAAAAAGAAGAAGAAGAAGAAAAGACATGAAAGCAATACAACAACCAAATGCTATGCATATATATTGTTTTAATACTGGTGCAAAAAAAATCAGCCATAAAAGACAATTTTGGAACAAATGGAAAAATTCAAATTTAGACTGAGTATTATAGGATATGAGAAAAATATTATTTCTTGGGCGGTGGCTCACACCTGTAATACCAGCACTTTGGGAGGCCGAGGCAGGTGGATCACGAGGTCAAGAGATCGAGACCATCCTGGTCAACATGGTGAAACCCCGTCTCTATTAAAAATACAAAAAATTAGCTGGGCATGGTGGCGCGTGCCTGTAATCCCAGCTACTCAGGAGGCTGAGGCAGGAGAATTGCCTGAACCCAGGAGGCAGAGGTTGCGGTGAGCCGAGATCACACCATTGCACTCCAGCCTGGGTAACAAGAGCGAAACTCCGTCTCAAAAAAAGAAAAGAAAAGAAAAATATTATTTCTTTTCTCAGATGTGTTAATCATATGTGATTATATAGAGAATGTTCTTATTCTTCTTACAGTACAGGTATATTCAAATATGACAAAATATGTCAACATCTCTGTAGTAGGTACATGGGCGTTGAATCTGAGTGATAGGTCTAAGGCTGTTCATTGTATTATTCTTTAACATTTTCACATTCTCTATATGTTTAAAGTTTTTTTTTTAAATTACATATACTAGAAAACGTAAAAAACTGAGCTTTGAGAAGCAGTCCAAAAGGTAGATACATGTGCCCTGGCAGAGGTTCCACGCAGAAATTTCACAACATGGAATTCTCAGTTTAGCCATGGAGGAGATGAGAGACCCAGAAAATGAACGCTTGTCTCAATCTTCTTCCCCCAAAAAGAGATAGAATTCAGTGACCATGTTTTAATTTTAGGGCTCGAAACAAAAGTTTCAGAAAGAGACTTTTTAGCCTTTACTAATTGTAAATTAATCAGCTCTCTGGTGGTGAGAGGGTCTCCTTCCTTCTGCACCCACCAGCCCCTCCCCAGGGTTTATGCTGTGGGCAAGAATGAGACATTTTATAAAACGCAGAAAAGCTCTTAAATATTAGAATATGGTTTCTTAGTTGATAGTGATGAAAAGAATACTGGCATAATAATGGTCTCTAAAATTTCTGAAGGATGATTAATACTTTTTAGTTAGAATGGTTGTGTTAAATAGTAGTTAAGAGGATAGGCTCCGGCGTTAGACTGCCCGGATGCAACACTGGAGTCTCCCACTTAGGTACCGTGCAAGACAGGAATGACCAAATCATCTTCTGTACATATAAATGAAGATGATGGTAGTACCAACCTCTTATTGTACGAGAATGGAGAATGATAAACAATGCATGCAGCACTGTTAGCACAGTTCCTAGTGCAAAGTTAAGTCCAGAAACGCTAATTATTATTCTAACTATAATTCTAATTCACTGAAGGGAAGTGAACATTTACAAATAAATGAAAAAGTAGACCCCTATGGGGCTTCAAAACATCAATAGGCAGGCAGTACATTTTAACCACTCAGTAACTTAGATTAAATTTACTGTGAATTTATTTCCATGAACTTCCTGAGGCTTCTTTCAGCACAGACCCAGCACCACTTGTCCATCTCCAGCATGCCAAGGGAAAGTGGAGTTCCAACACTGTGGGGAGAGCTGAGAACAACAATGTCCTTTGACAACATAGAACAGTGATGCCCTGTTTCACTAGCTTAGCATCTACGGAATGAGCTGTTTACCCTCTCAGTGGAAAATGTTTTGGACTTCTTCCCAGGAGGTGCCAAAATGCACAACGTTTGCTAAATTATCTGAATGGTTGCTGGAAATAAAAACTATTTTAATGGCATTTATTATTTCTTGCCTGAGCATTTATTTCAAATACTTTAGTATTCCTGGCAGGTGATATGACATGATGATTTCATTGATTATGCACCACACACTCAAAGACACCAATTTAGCTTCTGAAAGCTTCTAGTTTATCTATTAATATCTACATGTCTATGTATCTATCGTTTATCTATCTATCTGCAGTTATCTTGAAATACGAAACTCCCCCACAAGTAGGAAGTGCAATGAGACATGTGAATATCAGATCTTTTTATATTGCTACTGTACCTATCACAAATGCAGTACTACTGTTTTTTCACTGCAACACCCAGGCTGGATTACAATGGCGCAACCTCGGATCACTGCAACCTCAGCTTCAAAAATTTTTGTATACAAAAATTCCCCAGGTGTGGTGGCATGCACCTGTAGTAGAGAAGGGCTTTCACAATATTGGCCAGGCTTGTCTCTAACACCTGACCTCAAGTGATCCACCACCTTGGCCTCTCAAAGTGCTAGGATTACAGGCATGAGCCACCACATCCAGCCTAAAATGTTACCAACTCAAGCCTGAAACTCTGCTTCCCAGTATTTTTGGATGATTATTATTTCATAACATAACTGTGTTCTTTCAGCTGGATCCTGCAAATTACAGCTACAAGCCTAAGTCTCTCCAACAATTGAGTCTCTATTGATTTAAAAGCAGCAATGAGGAAACTTTTCTGAATCATTTCATTGGTTGGTGTCAATAGAAAGTCCTTACTCAATGTCTCCCATCTGGGGCAATAAATGCATTTGAACTGATGTTGGAAAGTCAATTTTATGTACCAAAAAGCCTATCATATAATGCCAACCTCATTGTGGTTTTCAACACCATCATATTTCTATAGTCTGTGGTGAGATGTGGATTCAAAGTCTAGTCCAGAATGTTGGCAAAATCAGACTTGAAGAAGCATCCCATACACATGTACCCATTCCCTTTCATACCCCTCCCAAAATATATTGGTGCTCTGCAAGACATTTAAGGCCTCTACATATCTCCCCTAGAAAGTTACACTCCGATTGGAATCCATCTTATGCCAACTTTCTCTTCTTTTATGGAATTCTCACTTGGGGAACCATTAGTTCAGGAGTCTGGAACTTCATGTATCAGGCAGGACTGCAATGTGGGGATGATCTTTGACAGATAATTACAAATGAAGCAAAATATGATTTTCTCCATAAATTTCTCAATCACGCTCCTCCAGACATTCTGTCCATCTTAAGTCATGACATTAACTTTTCATTTAAACTTTTCTTTTTCTTTCTTTTTTTTGTTGAGACAGAGTCTTGTTCTGTTGCCCAGGCTGCAGTGCAGTGATGCAATATCAGCTCACTACAACCTCCACCTCCTGGGTTCAAGAGATTCTCCTGCCTCAGCCTCATAAGTAGCTGGGACTACAGGTGCATGCCACCAGGCCCAGCTAATTTTTGTATTTTTAGTAACAACAGAGTTTTGCCATGTTGACGAGGCTACTCTTGAATTCCTGACCTCAAGTGATCCACCCTTCTTGGCCTCCCAAAGTGCAGGGATTATAGGCATGAGCCACCGAACCTGGCCTTAAGCCTTTCTTTTTTTTTTTTTTGAGACGGAGTTTCACTTTTGTTACCCAGGTTGGAGTGCAATGGCGTGATCTCGGCTCACTGCAACCTCCGCCTCCTGGGTTCAGGCAATTCTCCTGCCTCAGCCTCCTGAATAGCTGGGATTACAGGCACACGCCACCATGCCCAGCTAATTTTTTGTATTTTTAATCGAGACGGTGTTTCACCATGTTGACCAGGATGGTCTCGATCTCTTGACCTTGTGATCCACCCACCTCAGCCTCCCAAAGTGCTGGGATTACAGGTGTGAAAGTCTTTCTTAAACATTGTTTTGTACTGGCAAAGCTCAGGATTGGTTACTGCATTCCTCCAAGAGCAAGGTGCTGAATTCTTATCTTTGTGTAGTTGTTCAGTACAGCTATATGGTTGTCAGCCTTTTTTACCTCTAGAGGGCTGTGGAGAAGTAGACGTGACAGTCAATGTTCAGTGATAAATTTTTGAATGGTGCTCAGGATGTGCTGTTGAAAAATGTGGCTGGTATTTTTCAAACCAGACAAGGTTTGTACTGCCTGCCATGAGAATGATCAGCTCTGAGTGGACCCAAGGAAATTGTTATGTTCCCAATGTGTCCTCGCAGCTAATAATAGATATCCGAATATGTTGTTTCTAGTGTGTCTTCACAGCTAATAACATAACCCTGAAATCTTCACAAGTGTAAGCAAACAAAAAAAACCTCCTCTGAAAGCCTACCATCCAGAGATTGTCAAGAGATTGTCCTTGTAGGCCAGGCATGGTAGCTCATGCCTGTAATCCCAGCAATTTGGGAGGCCGAGGCGGGTGGATGGCCTGAGGTTAGGAGTTTGAGACCAGCCTGGGCAACATGGTGAAACCCCATCTCTACTAAAAATACAAAAATTAGCTGGGTGTGGTTGCGTGCACCTATAACTTTAAAGTACTGCACTCAGCTACTTTAGAGGCTGAGGCAGGAGAATTGCCTGAACCCAGGAGGCGGAGCTTCCGGTGAGCCGAGATCAGCCATTGCACTCCAGCCTGGGTAAACAAGAGCGAGACTCCGTCTCAAAAAAACAAAAAAAAAAATAAAAATAAAAATAAAAAAAGCCGGGCACCCTGGCGCACGCCTGCAATCCCAGCATTTTGGGGGCAGAGGCGGGTGGATCACGAGGTCAAGAGATCGAGACCATCCCGGTCAACATGGTGAAACCCCGTCTCTACTAAAAATACAAAAAATTAGCTGGCGTAGTGGCGCATGCCTGTAATCCCAGCTACTCAGGAGGCTGAGGCAGGAGAATTGCCTGAACCCAGGAGGCGGAGGTTGCGGTGAGCCGAGATCGCGCCATTGTACTCCAGCCTGGGTAAATGAGAGCGAAACTGCATCTCAAAAACAAAACAAAACAAAACAAAAAAGCCGGGCGCGGTAGCTCACGCCTGTAATCCCAGCACTTTGGGAGGCCGAGGCGGGTGGATCACGAGGTCAAGAGATCGAGACCATCCTGGTCAACCTGGTGAAACCCCCGACTCTATTAAAAATACAAAAAATTCGCTGAGCATACTGACACGTGCCTGTACTCCCAGCTACTCAGAGGGCTGAGGCAGGAGAATTGCCTGAACCCAGGAGGCGGAGTTCCCGGTGAGCCGGGATCGCGCCATTGCACTCCAGCCTGGGTAAAGAAGGGCGAGACTCTGTCTCAAAAAAACAAAAATACTAAAAATAAAATTAAAAAAAGCCGGGCGCCGTGGCGCACGCCTGCAATCCCAGCACCTTGGGAGGCCGAGGCGGGTGGATCACGAGGTCAAGAGATCGAGACCATCCTGGTCAACATGGTGAAACCCCGTTTCTACTAATAATACAAAAAAAAATTAGCTGGGCATGGTGGCGCGTGCCTGTAATTCCAGCTACTCAGAAGGTTGAGGCAGGAGAATTGCCTGAACCCAGGAGGCGGAGGTTGCGGTGAGCCAAGATCACACCATTGCACTCCAGCCTGGGTATAAAGAGGGAAACTCCGTCTCAAAAAAAAAGAAAAAAAGAAAATGCACAGTAAAAGAATACAAAAGAAGTAAGAATAAAAAACAATGAAGCATGCCTACAAGATCTAGAAAACAGCCTCAAAAGGGTAAATCTAAGAGTTATTTGACTTGAAGAGAAGTTAGAGAAAGAGATAGGAGTAAAAAGTTTATTCAAAGGAACAATGTCAGAGAACTTTCTAAACCTAGAGAAAGACATCAATATCCAAGTACATGAAGGTTATAGAATACTAAGCAGATTTAACCCAAAGAAGACTACCACACGGCATTTAATAAGCAAACTCCCAAAGGTGAAAGATAAAGAAAGGATCCTAAAAGCAGCCAGAGAAAAGAAAGATCATATGTTAGGTCACAAAACAAGTCTTAAAACATCCGAAAAGCTGAAATAATATCAAGCATCTTCTCTGGCCACAATGGAATAAAACTAGAAATCAATAATGAGGAATTTTGGAAACTATACAAACGCATAAGTATTAATATGTTCCTGAATGAGCAGTGAGTCAATGAAAACATTAAGAAAAATAATTGAGGTTCCTCCTCTCCCTCCCTGGCCAAAAAAGAAAAAAAAAAGAAAAGAAAAGAAAAAGAAAAAAACTGAAAAGTCTCTTAAAACAAATGATAATGGAAACATAACATACAAAAACTATGAGACACCGCAAAGGAGGCGAAAGTTTGTAATTATAAGCTTCTATATCAGAAAGAGAAAAACTTCAAATAAACAACCTAATGATGTATCTAAAGAACTGGAAAAGCAAGAGCAAACAAAACCCAAAATTAGTAGAAAAAAAGAAATAATAAACATCACAGTAGGATAAATGAGTTAGATTGAAATTTACAGACATAGAAAGGGAAAAATAGCAACTAGTAAAAGTAAATAGAATTACATTTTTTTAAATTTACATATGTAGGATGGAATATTCACAGAAAGGTTCTAGAAGAAAATATGCAGAACTGAACTGTTAACAAGGGAAGACATACTTATAATAAATAAATTATTTGTTGCTTATCTGCAATTCAAATTTAATTGGGCATTGGGTCTTTTTTTTTTTTTAAATCCAGCCCCGAATTTCACATCCTGGTCACACAAGATTGTTATGCAAGCCTAGATTGGTAGCTTCAGACATCTGTGGGTGCTTTGCTTTAAAAGTGTGCATTACAAACTTGACACCAAACCTAAGCTTCTTTAGAGCTTAATGCACCTTCATATA